TTTAGTACAAGCTGGGTTAATTCCTTTTAATAAAGGAGACAAAATACAACCTGGCAGTCTTTAGCATATTCCTGGTGCTACACTGATGCTAGTGAATTTATATTGGTTACGTGAGATAAGCGATGACTCAGAAATGATTCTTAAAAAGACCGAGAGACCACTAACATCCTATTACCGTCACATGGTTAGTGCGCTCGTCTCCGGATCGAGTGGTCCGGGTTCGAGTCCTGGCCGGGGACATTGTGTTGTGTTCTTGGGCAAAACATTTTACTCTCACAGTGCCTCTCTCCACCCAGATGTATAAAATGGGTAGCGGTGAACTTAATGCTGGGGGTAACCCTGCGATGGATTAGCATCCCATCCAGGGGGGAGCAGAAATACTCCTAGTCGCCTCATGCTATACAGAAACCGGGAGAAGCTCCGGCCTGCAGCTGATGAACCACTTGGCTCGTATGCAGACTTTACCGTCACATTGGTATTAAAAAAAGATGTTTTTGTTTTTTGTCTTCACCCTTTTTAAGTAATTTACAACACATACAAATACCACTGAAGAGTTTGTGTTAACGATTGAGTTAAGAGGCAAATCGGCTGCGTTGTCACGATTTGGAGCCTTGAAGAACATTCTTACTACACATGCCTTGAATTCGGGCGTCCGGAGAGAGTATATTATGGGGTTAACCAGCGAGGTGGCCAAAAATAAAATTAACACAGTCATGTGAAAGTAGTAAAATGAGTTCCAAGAGTGACGAAGACTAATAATGATGTAAACAGTAGGAAATGGCAGCCAACTCAATAAAGACACAAACGCAGTAATAAGTAAGGTAGTCGTTGGTTTTCTTTCTCTCAGACTGGTTGCACTATGATGATGACGATGACGACTGCAGCGAACTTTATGAAGATGCAGGCACAAGAAACACAATTGAAAAAACACAAAGAGAAACGAAATGATGTAAGTAGTAGAACTCTAATGCCATGTTTAAGTCAAAGTTTGCTGGGTAGAACTGAGACATTCCCTCGATATAGTGGTCACCTAAATGGCAGTGATCATTACTCATAAACCCGCCAAGAATTAGAAAAGCTGGCAAAGTGTTGTACGGAAAGTTATCCTCGAAAATAAAGTCGACCATTTCACACGCCACGTCATGCATCGAGCCCGCGCGCTAAGTGGTAAGTGAACAGTAATAGGACAAATGGCCACTGCTACAACTTTGCGTGGATTTAACGATCTTCGACGTTCGGTGACCCCTATTTTTCTTTTAATGGGCCATTTTCTCTACCGATTTTCAACGTTTTGCGAAAAAATGAAGAAAATCTATCGAGTAGAAGTTTGAGTTTTTTGCAAAACGCGCCATCAAATTCCGTTCATTTGACCTCTTCGTTTAGCTGTGCGTCAGTTTCAAATGCCTCTTGAAGGGTTAAGGTTTGTGAAAATGATGGCAATATTGGAATTATTAAAGCCACAGATTCACTGATACAAAATTTTGTTAGGAAAGTTTACCTCTGTTGACTTATCTTTGATATTTTAACCTAAAAACCCTGGAGACCATGCTGAATTACGCGCACCAATTTATCAAAATCAGACTAGTTTTCCACACGCTTGATCTCTGAAACGAAGTCGGTGAACCCCAAGTATATCATTGTCTGTCTGCAGTAGAAGTTTAGAAAAAAGCTATCGAGTAGAAAATTTTCGTTCGAACGTTTTTAAGTGGGAAAACTTTTCTCGCAGACAAACCACCTTGAGATCGAGAATGTTCCGCACAATACTTGAAAATATAACTCAATAGACCACTTTGCAGTCGGTTTTGAAATTATATTACAACTGAAATAACCCATTTATGTATCTCAAACAAACCGCTAGACGGATGAAATATAACAGTTTCTAATGGAACTTTGTTTGTTTTTCCAAAGCAAACACTTGGTAGAGGTTGATTAAAACTGGCAACTGTCAGACTTGCGTCGTGTTTAGACTTGAACGGTTTACCGAGGTACCAGAGTTTGCTTACCTAGGTAAACATTTTCCGTGTGTAAATTAAACGCCAACTGATACTTTGGTAAATACCGCAGAAGACAAAAGAAATTTAACCGAGGTAAAAGTTGTAATTACCCTGTGATCAGGCATGGTTACAGTTGGTAACCAAGGTCAAGATGACGGATATATCCGCTTGTGGCGGCATAATATTTCATTTTCCGCGGTGAGCAGATTGCGCGATTGTCGACAAAGCGTTTCGATTCCAGTTTTCACCAGGCGATCATGGCAGATAACGTGGAAAGATTGGATCGATCTTCTTACAGCGAACA